GATGAAAATGTGAGACATACACACAATTAAATGTTAGTAAGCATTGAGGAAAAGTGAAATTATGAAATTTTCTAGAAAACGAATGGAACAGAAAATATCCTGTATAGGATAACTCAAGCCCATGAAGACAAATGTTGTAAGCGCTTTCTCATCTGTGCATCCTAACTTTGATGTTTTAGGTTTCTGTGTTTAAGTTGGGGTCAGGGTCCATGGAATCCATAGAGCTTGAAATAAACCACTGTGGGTATGGAGGGGAAAGAACTTAAAGGGGGCTAGCAAGTAAATCACATGTGATATTAAGAGTGGGGAACACTAGCTGTACAATGACTTCAATGAGAACGGGGCTTGACTAGGATGGAGATAAGTGGAAGTGGGGAGGAGTTTAATCAAACTTAAGGATGTGGGTAAAAACATATGGAAACCTACTTTACAAGATAACTGAAAATACAATATAGAAGCGTTTGAAGGGAGGCTCAGCTGTGCAAGAGAAGATAATCCTCCTCCCAAAGTCCTAGATGACAATCCCAGTGCCAGGTGCAGGACACCTCTCCATATCGACCAGAGAAGCCCCAGAGGCTCCCAAAACAGTACAGCCTGCTATATCACTTGGTTCTGGCCCAAACTAGCTAGGCAAGACTATGGCTGTGACATCACACATTTTCGGACACAGAGCGTGGAGAAGTCAAGCTGGAATTGAGATGGAAACCCCTTCCCTGCTGGCTAGCATTCACAGTTCTGAAAGGTGCTGTTCAGGGTGCTTGGGGAGAAAGGTCATCAAAGACATGTACCCTGCATGCTGCAATACCTGCTGGCAGTCAAAATATGCCCTCTGTTAAAATAGTGGCAGGACTATTTTGGAGGTAAAGAACCACTTTCTTATTGGACTTGAGGCCTATTCCATGGGAGGAAATGCATGTCTAGTATTGTAAGCCTAGTCAAATGTCTATGGCTGAGGGGACTAGAGACATGCAGGCACCATCCACAAACACAAAATAAAAATAAGTGAAATGTTGCATGAAACAGGACTCAGCATGCATGGCAGAGTGCAGAAGGTTCAGTGGGGGAATAGGGGGCAGAGGTCTGGATTTGAGTGGGAAATGTTTGAAATTTAAAAAGCTCAATAAAATATTTTATTTAAAAATTAATAAACAAAAAAATAAAATCTTTGAAAACATCTAAGGTGGAGGAAGTCACAGATCCTTGGCTGCAATCTACGACTGATGTTTTCTTAAATCGACATGTAGTTGAATATATATATATTTCTATCCATCTACTAGAGCTTCTCTCAGTCTTGGTCAAAGAATCTTCTTTTGTAGTGGGCAATGGTAAATGCAGAAACTCATACCTGATCAAGGTGGTGAGAATAAATAATTGTTGAGTGCTGAACCCTAAACAGGACATACTACCCCTGCCTCCAAGTCCCAGGGAATACTGTGAAAGATGGAAAGATTATAACAGCCAGAGCATTGGGGAGAGTGTTGTCTTCTGGACATGACGTGGCTGTTACTATCATGAACAGGCAGCAGCTGTGGCTACCTGCAGAAGACTCACACAAGATGGGGTCCTTCAACATTCTATCACGGATTGGGGGAGGAGCTCATGAGGCCCAGCCTCCTCAGGAGCTGGGACGGTGAGTCATTCTTTTCTGTATAGCCATTGGCAAGTTTTCTTACTCTAGTAAATATCTCTATTGTCATTCTCCAGCAAGTAAATGTAGTTAAACTTGACTCCCCCACACAGAAAAACATGCATGTATGAGGGGGATGAGAGAGCTTAAAGTGAGCAGAAGTGAGAAGCGGACAAGAGAGCTTAATAAGGAGTTAACAACATTGTAACATGTACATATTGAATTTGTCAAAAATTTAAAAATTAGAATAATTTTAAAAACAATAGATCTATCAAAAATCAAGTATTTTTATATCTCTCTTTTTCTTCCTCTCTCACTGTTTTAGCTATGAAGATAGTAAATGTCATGACACATACAGTAAAATATCATTTATTACATAGTATATATGATGCACAATACTATAAACTGTGTTATGCCTTGTATACAATGCATGTAATATGCAGGTACATGTATGGTGCATATATAATATGTAAAATATGTAGCATTTATCATATTTGACTGTACAAAT